TAGTGATACTGCCTCGGAAACCCAAGGAGGGGTCGCTATGAGTCGGGGCCGACTCGACGGCAAAAAACAACAACAACAACAAGCTTATTATATGTCAATAATAACCCAAAAGTACCATTTACAAATAATAAAAGCGAATCTTTAAGTCACCTCACAAGATCATGCTCTCTTAAAACTCTCCATGTGAATCAATGACCTCAGATACAATGAATAACACCACTTACCACACTCTCCTTCTTGAAACCTTCTTTTACTACTATTTATTTCCCTACCATTGCTTCCTCCGGTTTCCGCTCCAGCCCCTCAAGAGTCTCCCTTCTCAGTTTTCTTCCCTGGTTTTCATCCTTCCTCCTGTACCTTAAATGAGAAGCTTCCTGGGTCTGAAGCTGGTTTCTCTTTTATTCCCATGCACACTCCTTCCTGAGCAATCTCTCCATTCCACCAACCACAACCACCAACTCCCAAATCTACATCAACAACAGTGCCTTCTCTGCTGAACTCCATATTTCCACCGATTCCCATTGAACATCTCTACACCTTCCCCCATTTAAACTTATCACCCAGCCTGTGTTCAGGCCTTAGTTTGTAGCACCACCCTCTTCCCAGTCACACAAGTTGGACGTAGCATAGTGTATGAGAGCACAGGCTCTGGATTTGAGTCCTAGCTTTGTCACTTATGAGATGTTGTCTTGGGTAAGTTATTTATCCTCTCTGTGCCATGTTCCTTCATCTGCATGATGAGTTTCTTCCTCACGAGTTGCTGTGGGGATTAAATAAGATGCTAAACATGAAGTGTGTACACCTTGGCAATGCCTAACATAGACAGCCAGAAGAATGAACAAATCTGCCTTAGAAGTACAGAAGGAATGCTCCTTATGAGAAAGAATGGCCAGACATCGCCTCATGTATTTTGGTCCTATTGTCAGAAGGGACCAGTCACTGGAAAAGGATATCATGCCTGGTAAAGCAGAGGGTCAGTGAAAACGAGGAAGACCCTCAGTGAGATGGATGACACAGTAGCTGACAACGGGCTCGAGCAGAGCAAGGACTGTGGGGATGGCACGGGACCAGGAAGTGCTTCATTCTGTTGCACACGGGGCTGCCATGAGATGGAGCCCACTTGATGGCACCTAAGAACCACCACCACCACCTGGGTCTGATGATTTACCCAGGACTGTTCATTTCCTCTCTGCAACCTCCCTGTCTCCTTTTTTCCCTTCCCTCTGCTGGCGTGCTGCCTAAGGCATTTGACTACTACCCAGAAGGCTAGCAGTTCAAACCCAACAGCCACTCCTCGGACGGAAGATTGGGCAATCTACTTCTGTAGAAACACCGCCTCAGAAACCCAAGGAGGGGTCACTATCAGTCAGATCTGACTCAATGGCAGTGAGTTTGTTTTTTTGTTCTGCTGTCCCGTAGCTCAGACTCATTATATCTTGTTATCATACTTAGCCTACTCACTGCCCTCTTTTCAGTCTACTCTTTAAAATGCTACCTAAGTACTTCCCAAAACCCAGGTCAGATTCATACACCTTCATGATCAAAAGCCTTTGATTGGTCCTGGTCTGGATAGCATAATCCTTAGCAGGGAGTTCAAGAGTCCATAAGCTTTGACACCACCTTGCTCTTTCAGCTTCAACTATTAAGACAATCCCTGCCCTGGGTCCATATCATTCGTCTATCATCCACCAAAACCCTGCCTTGCCCTGTTGTTGTTGTTACGTGCCTCCAAGTAGGACCTGACTCACAGCAACCCCTCCTTGGGTTTCCGAGGCAGTATCACTACAGAAGTAGATTGCCCAACCTTCCTTCCGAGGAGTGCCTGGTGGGTTTGAACCACCAGCCTTCTGTTTAGCAGTCAAATGCCTTAGGCACTACGCTACCAGAGCTCCTTAAGGAGCTTTGCCCTACTTCCCTGTATCTGTTTAAGAACAGCATTGTTTAAGAACCCTCCCCCAGGCTCAGCTCAAATGCTGAACTCAACCTAATTCCTTAATTGGTATTAATCAATCTCTCTTCAGTGCATCCATTGCACCTTGGTTATATTTCAATTTGGGTGTTGACAATATCGTCATTTATGTATTTGCCTGCTCCTCATGCAGGGGCTGCCTTAACTTACCTTTGTCTAGGCATTCAACGAAGGCCTGCTGAATAGAATGAAAATGGGAAGGAGGAATATGACAATCTGCCTAACAGCTGCCTAAAGTCTCCCTGGTAATGTCACCTGCCCATGGAGTTTCTTTGGAGATTGACACTTTACAAATTAGTAGCCTATTCAAGCTGAAAGAGCACCAGAGAGCCACCTCAATGGAAAGCACACAAGAGTTTAGCAGCAGTACCACTCGTAGGTTTGTGGAGGAGAAGAGAAGCAAACCACGTGCAGCCAATGCAGACTTCATCTTGGGTGTTCCACATGCTTCTTTCCGAAATTAAGATGTCTCTCTTCTGAGAGGAAAGCTGTTCACTGCTCACTGCTCAGGAAGTCAGTCAAGCATCCCAGAGACCCTCTCCAGTATTACTTTATAAATTAGTGTGCAGACTTTACAGCTGATACCACGACTCTGCTTGGCCACATATAACCCCTGGTGGAAGAATTTGGGATGCACTGACAGCAGCTTATCATTAATGGACTCCCCCAGCCCACTGACCACAGCACCTGTCCAGTAGGGTGGGGAGACAAGGTTAGAACATGAAAAGAAATGAACTAGTGAGGTGGCTGCCAATTGCCAGCAAAATTTCCAGATTCTCCAGGGGACAGTTCCAACATAGAAATGACCCTTCTGGGCAAGTTTAGTTTAGTAGCCCAATTTCTTTGGAAACTTGTCCATAAAGTAGACAATGGCAAGCCTAGATAAATGTCAACATAGTGTTTACTGTCCTTTCTTCTCCTAGAAATTTTGGGGGGACCACACAACATATATCACTACCATTCATGGTGGAATTCTGCCCTGAGCAGCTAAGCAATTGCCTTCAGGGTGTGACCTGTTTCCAGTATGTCAGGAGAAGTTTTAAAGAAGGTCTCTAGCTTTTGGCAATCTGGACCCTGCATTTGGCCGAGGCTTCATATCAGTGGCCTACCATCTTGCCTGCCAATCTTGGGATTACTCCTGGACTTGAACCAGTGGTCTACTGTGTTTGCCTCTTGATCTTGGGACTGTGCCCTTTTACCTGTCTATCTTGGGTTCGTCTGCCTCAGCAGCCAGCAGCTGCATGAGTCACAAAAAGCCTCCAGCTCTAGTGGGCCTGAAGCAGTAGGCTGAGCTGAAGCCCAAGGTTGAGAGGCCTTCACCCAGCCTCTAGAACCAGCACTTTGAACTCGGACTTCTAGCCTCCTAAACAGTAAGAGAACAAATTCCTGTTAGTTAAAGCCACCCACTTGTGGTATTTCTATTATAGCAGCACTAAAGAACCAAAACAGGGACTGACGCATCAAGGGGAGAAGGCAAAGGGCTGTGTTACTTCCATTCACCCACTGTCACGTGTGGCCATTATTTGTTTCTCTAACCACTCTTAGAGAGCAGGGACTGTGGCCTACTTTACTCTGTGTATCCTGTTGCCTAGTCATGTGGTTGAGTTCTACAACTATCAAGTGAAATCTTGCTACAACAAGGATGAAGCTTAAAAACATTATGCTGAGTGGAGGAATTTAGTCACAAAAGGACAAATACTGTATGATCTCACTTACATGAAACAGACAAATGTATAGAGTCCAGAGTTTATTAGTGGTTACCAAGGGTAGGAGAGAGGGGAAAAGCAGGAGCCTTAGCTTTGTGAGGCCTGAGTTTCCAGTTACTGTTAATGGTGGTGGAATGATATGGAAAGAGATAGTGGTGATGGTTGCACAGTATGATGAACATAACCAGTGTCACTGAATTGTATATCTAAAATATGTTGATTTCACCAATGTTTTGTTATATATTTTTTGCCACAATAAAATAGCAATAAATAAATAAAAACAAAGAATAAAAAAAGAGGTTGTTTTCTAGACACAAGCATATAAGTACCTAACATGGCCTATAAATAATTTTAGAAAATGTAGGAAAATTCTTCCTACATTTGGAAATATAAAACCAAAAACTCACTGCTGTCGAGGTGACTCATAGTGACCCCTCCTTGGGTTTCCAAGGCGGTATCTCTACGGAAGTAGATTGCCCAACCTTCCTTCCAAGGAGTGGTTGGTGGGTTTGCACTGCCAGCCTTCTGGTTAGCAGTCAAATTGCTTAGGCACTACTCCACCACAGCTCCTTTTGAAAATATACAGAAGAATATATGTAACAGTGGGGAATGCTTGAAGTCTGGTACTTTTTACTCCAGTTACACTGGATACAGAGAAATCTAGGCCTCCAGGTTTCATTCTCACCCCTGCCAGATAAACACTCATCTCTGGAATGGCTTAGGAGATTCACGTCTCTACCCTTTGTAGGTGAGTTACAGAATAACCCGCCACCAATCCTCTCAGAATTCACAGGGCTGTTTAAATAGAACAAAGTCCACACAAAGTTACACTGAGATGTGCCGAGCAAAGGCCAGAGCCCCACGAGAAAACAAGTGCAGACTCAGAGCAGAGCTGACCTGTCTGGAGTGTGGACCTCACTACCCTGGCAGGGTCCATGGGAGTGGCAATGAGCGCGGTGCTGTCAGCATTCATGAGAGAGCTCCCTGGCTGGCTCCTGTTCTCTGGGGTCTTCCTGCCTGTGACTTTACTGCTGCTCCTCCTCATTGCTTACTTCAGAATCAAACTGATTGAGGGTAAGTGTGAAGCTGTACAAGCAAAGTGTTAAGTCCTTTTCCTTGGCACACCTTTGAGACAAGCCAATATAACTGTCAGTTGTTCTGGGAGGGCCTGGAGAAACACATCTTTTTTGTTTGAAGGTACTTTTCAATAAACCCTCTCTGGAGATATCTTTATTGGTGACTGTGGCAGAATTTGATCTTTTCAGCAGCATAGATTGTGTGACAGAATGGGAAGGACTGCCATAGGGACCCATTAACTTCTTTCTCCTCCACTGAACTTCTCTGAAGGAAGTGTTTCAAATGCTGTTCTATCATGGTGTTTGGCCAATGTCAAGTCCTAATAGACGTTTGATGACTTGGTGTAAATTTCCATGATAGTGTAGTCTTAGGATGTAAAAGAAAATTTTTTGAAGCTTAAGGTGATTTAGATATGGGCATTTGGACCCTAGATTGAGACTGCTTATTCTACTGTAAGTGAAATGACTGAAACTGGATTGTGACTTGATAGACTATGTGTTAATACTGTACCCAGTATACATTAGAATAACATCATAGAGTTTAAAAACCATTTTAGAAATATCAACAAGAACTAGTAATATTTCTTAAGTTGGATGATGTTGCTTTCAAATGTTTTTTTTTTTTAATTGAAAACCCCGCCTCTTCTACAAGAACTTGCCTAGTCCAAGCTGTGCTTTCCTGTATATCACTATATAATGTACATATACCATATAAAATATAGCATCTATAATGTATAACATATATAACTATGTATGTTCAGAATCTTAAATTACCAATGTTATAACATACAGGCTAACATCGAAGAGAAGTACAATTGTGAATACTTATTTTGAAATAAGATTAAAAATATAAAGAAATCCTAGAGGACACCGAGAACATTATGGAATTGTAAGTTTCACACCATAAATGTTCCCCTAGCCTTCCATTTTCTGCGTGTCTCATTTTTTAAACAACTCTCTTGTTACATGGCCCAGTCTGTCTCTCTCTCTAGGACTCATGTGATAAATCCTCTTCTTTATTAAGTTGCTTTATCCTCCACTCCTCCAAGACCAGTCTGCCTGATGTTCTGCCACCAGCCATTCATTATCCTTAAGCCTTGGAGAAGAGCATCTGAAAAAGGAAGAGAATATTAGAAATTGCCAAAACCCTAACTACATCTCCCCTTTAGAGTCTTCCAAATCTGTTTAATGCCCAATCCCTGCAAACATTTCCATTTAGAAGATCTTTCAAAGCTATTGCAATTGCCACTGTCAGTCACATGCACCCCAGGCTCTCATGGACACTGACTACCCTGCGGAACAGGAACAAGAAGTTAATATCATTGCTGGGCACCAAGGTTTCATCTCTGCCTGCCTCTTTGGCTAGATAACATTTTCAGTATTTCAAATAGTAATAAACATTAAATAACGCAAACAACAGGCCAGTAATTGCCTCATGGATTTCAAGGTGTCTTACTGGCCTCTACTTAACAGTTAAGACAGGTGAGATAATTCAGCAGGACAATTGGTATTTGAGACAGGCTCTGCAAAAGGAGATAAATCTTTGTTTTATAGCTTTACTTATCCTGGGTGACGAATATCTATAATATGTAAAATTTATGGGAAAATGATACTCTCAAAGTTTTCACTTTTTTTAACATTTATTTTTTAATGCATTTTATTGAAATACAATTGATGTACAGTGAAACACACAAAATTAAAGTGACACAGGTCAATGCAATTTTTTTTTTTTGCAGTGTTCCCTCCCCTCCCCTCCCACCCCTAGCAACCAACAAAGAAAGTTTCCCTCCACATATAAACCTTTCCTTGACCATCCACAACAATGACCTAATACTATATTTGTCCTTCTGTGATTGACTTATTTCACACAGCATAATGTCCTCCAAGTTCATCCATATTATGCGGTGTTTTGCAGACTCTACATTATTCTTTAGTGCTATATAGCATTCCATTATGTAGTTTGGTCATCCACTCTTCCTCTATAAATCTTAGGGATAAGTCCCTTGCCAGATATGTAACTATTGGCAAATATGAATTTGTTGCTGTCATTTTTGTTATGTGCTTTTTCGAGGTGTCAATTTCTTTGTTCCATGTAATTTTCTATTCTGAGCTCATTTTGCTTATGAATCATGTTATCACTTCTTCACTGTTATTGTTTTAGTATTTGCTGAATATTTATGCTGGTCCTCTTTTTTGATGTGAAGGTTTATCATTTTTCTTTGAGGTTACCCTGTGATTTATCATTTTCTTTCCATGTTTAGAACAGTCCGTTCTATCTTGTAGTTGTCTTGACTTCCCTACCATCTAGAAGTTCTATTAACGACACAGTTTTTTCCCTCTTTTTGGTTTGTAGTTGTCCTCATTTGTCAATTGATGTCTCTGGTTCTCTGTTTACAATCTTGTAGGCTTATTTACTCTGGATACTTCCATAGCTGGGTTGGTTTCTGGGTTATATCATCATGTGTCAGTTGTTGTTGGCTGTTGTTGCTTCTCTGTCCAAAGGGCACCTTTTAGCATCTCTTGCAAGGTTGGTCTGGTTTTAACAAATTCCCTTAATTTTTGCTTATCTGGAAATGTCCTAATTTCACCATCATATTAGAGGGACAATTTTGCTGGGTACATAATTCTTGGATGGAAATTTTTCTCTTTCAGTGTTTTATATGTACCATCCCATTGTCTTCTCGCCTCTATGGTTTCTGCCAAGAAATCCGAGTTTAGGCTTATTGATTGCCCCTTGTAGGTAACTTCTCATTTTTCCCGTGCTGCTCTCATGATTCTTTCTTTGTCTTTGGTTTTGGTAAGTTTGATGATGATATGTCTGGGTGATTTTCTTTTGGGGTCTATCCTGTTTGGGGTTTGTTGGACTTCCTGAATGGATATATTCTCATCTTTCATCATACCAGGAAAATTCTCTTCCAACAAATCTTCGACAATTTTCTCTGTGGTTTTATTTGTCTCTTCTTGTTCTGAAATTCTGATTACAAGTACGTTATTCCTTTTGATGGTATCCCACATGAACCTTAGGCTTTCTTCATTTTGTTTTGCTCTTTTTTCTGATTTATACCTTTCCAAAGAAGTGTTCAGATATTTGCTTTCTATCTCCCTCTGTCTTCCATTGATTCAGTTCTGCTCCTTTGCCCATTCAATGCTTTATCTATTTATGAAAAGAGTTGTAGGGATGGCCTGCTCTTTTTCAAGTCTTGTCCCAAAAATCAAAGCTGAGCACAGTCGCTGAAGCTAAGGGCCCCATAGCTATGTGACTCTTAGATCACTCTTCCCCATGGCCTCCTCCTAATTTTGCTGGCTCTAACTAAAGTGTGCCTGGAGCTTCTGGGCTACAGGTAAGCAGCACAGAGGGGTGAATGAGGAGGTAGAAACCAAAATCTAAACCCACTGCTATTGAGCTGATTCCAACTCATAGCATCCCTATAGGACAGAGTAGAGCTGCCCCATAGGATTTCCAAGGCTGCAAATCTTTATGGAAGCAGACCGTCTCAGCTTTTTTCTACAGAGCAGCTGGTGGCTTTGAACCACTGACCTTTTGGTTGGTAGTCGAATGCATCACTACCCCTCCTTGAAGAGGTGGAAGGGACTATGTATTGTAGTATTAGCAAAATCTATGCATCAGTCACTTAATTTAGTAGGGATTCCATGTGAAGTTTATTACTGGAAAGGATACTAATGATGATAAGCATTCAATGCTAGTGGTCTTCCAGGGACTCATCTGGAGGCTGACAAAAGAGGACCACAAGCTGATCAAACTGAGTTGTCTTTTGTGTTATCAGTGTTCACTGGGTGAGAGAAGTGGTATCCCTGGGTGCTGCCCCTTATTGGTTCCTAGCCAGGATGCCAGCTGAGGGGCAGCCTGTACTATATTTTCTCAAGAATTCTCTTTTCAAACCATCTTTTGCTTATATTTCTATCCTATCCAAAATAGGATCTGTGTATCTTTTTTCGGGGGCGAAGAGTACTTCTTGATTCTATTTTCCAGTGTTAGCAGACAACCATGGACTATGCATGTTTTCATTTTTTTGTGGATCTGGTCCCTTTATTTCCAAAATCTCTTTTCTTCTGGGGAGAGGCAAAGAAACCTCCTAGAACATGCAGCTTTTTAAAATTATCATTTTTTCTGTAGCCATTTTCTGGAGGATAAGTAGTAATATCCTCTCTTGAGTTTGAGGGAAAATGAGATCACTTACCCCAAAATAAAATATCAACTGTTTGTATCTCTATTTAGCAGCTCCCACTTAAAACCCGTAAACAGATGGTTACGTCTCGTGTTATTAATCTTCTGACCTGGGTTATGACAAGTGTAATCATTCCTATTTTGTACCTATAAAGAGTGGGACATTGACAGATTAACTGGTGCATTCACAGAACCCCAGAGTCCTGCATTCTGAGACAGGGAATCAGCTTGCCTGTCTCATCCATCCTGGACTGTCAGATGAGGGAAGCGTTTTAAGGTGTGATGGAAAGCATGTGTAGGGATCGCAATCATTCAACATTAATCCCAGCACTTCAAGCCTTCGGAGGTAATGGTGCATGTAAATTTAATTAGTATGTAGAGAACATCAATTTTCTCACACAAAGGAAGGAAGAAAATTCTCTAACATCCTGTACTCTGGAATCTGTGTCAATTGCTTTCAGGAGCAGCTCTTTGGGTGACAGTCCGAGTCTTGAACTTTCCATTGCCAAACCCTCCATCAACCATGGCCACAGACATTTTAGACCTCTGAGGATAGAAGTTTGTATTATCTAATCTCCTCAAGTTCCTAGAATCCTGAACCTTTACTTTAAGTGCCACACAATATACCTTCAAAATACCATAAATCTGATCAAAACAAAATGGTTGTCTCTCTCTAAAATGGTCAACATTACCAAACTGGTCTCTCTATATAAAAAGTTTGTCTATTCAATACCCCAAACTTTTGTTCAGGGTTAGGTCCAAAATAAGGTCATGCAACTGTCAGGTTCTGGCCTTCGGCATTTACCTTCTAA